TTTTTTTTTCTGTGGATTTGATTGGTTGGTTGATGATGAAGAAGGCAAGGCTTGCTGAGGAACTGGAGAGCACTGTTGTTCTAGGTTCGAATGGGTTTAGGGAAGAAAGGGGGAGAAGGGTTCAAGTTTTGTAGGATGTGGGACCCACATTTTTTTTCTTGTTTGGTTTTGGAGCAGAACGAGTCATACTGCCATGTCATCTTTTTTTTCCAGGTGTGCGTTTGAGGTGTCACTTTATTGTTGACATGTCATCGTGCTTTTTGTTAATCAAGGACACGTCACTAGATTTTTAACGGATTTTTTTAACGGAGGGACTAAATCGGGGTCAAAATGGTAAACAATAGGGACCAAATCAGGGATTTTTTGAGTTGAGGGACTAAGTCGGGGGTCCGTATGATAGTTGAGGGACCCAAATGGGGTTTAACCGACAAAAAGCCGCGCTCCAAAAACGCAAAAAAGACGGCCATTCTCCACGCCATTGTAGACCTCCCCTGAGAACCAGAAGCAACCACAAACCCTTCCTCTTCGATAATTTCTATCTCATTTTGCCGGAATCAAAACAACGAACTAAGCATTTTTTTTCCTTATATCCTCTCTGTCACAGGAAGAATTCATGGCAGAGGCCTCAAAAGGAAATTCTACTACTGGAGCCCATGAAGCAGCAGGAAATTCTACTACTGTTGACCGCAAAAGGAAAAGGTCTGCTTCACCAGCTGGAAGAACTGAAGACATATTACCACTACTGAAGAAGTTGGCATCACCAGTGTTTGATTCTCTCCCTACAAACACAGAAGTCATATTAACGTAATGATTTTTTTCTTTGTTTGAACTATTTGACCCTACCATCTTATATTTTAGTTTAACATTCTATTTTTTTTTTTTTTTTAGGGATTTAGTGGGCTCTTCGATCATCACAGCTGAAGTTAAGAAAAATGTGAAGGATGAGTGGGAATGGGAAGACATTATTGCAGAAGAGTACAAGGAGCTCAATTTGAAAGAAGATGAGGATAAGAACACTGATATTGAATCCACAAGAAAACAGATTGAAGAGCTGTCTATTGAACCAGAAAATCAATCTGAGAGTCCAATGATGGAAGTGGATGAAATCGAAGATGACTATTGAACCACTAAGATTATCATGCGTATTTATTAGACTTTCAAATGTTAGATAATTAGTATATGTTGTTTATCTAATTAGATAATTAGCATTTGTTATTTATTTAATTAGATCATTTGTATTTGTTGTTTATTTAATTAAGCCTTAGTAGATTAAAAACTATGAGGTGTAAAATGTTTATTCAGCTGATAAATACTCCTTGAACCTTTATTCAGCTTGTAAAATGTTTAGCAGTTTTTCATGTAAATACAATTAAAATAATCCAGAATTAATTGTTTATTTTTTGCTTGATATTTTGAGCACTGCTGTAAGGTGAAGTATTGTTTAAATAGGGCAATGCTTGAACTTGATCAGATTCTTCGGGCAAATGAAATCAATTTTGCGATTCTAGCTGCTTTGCCTGCATTCTTGCTATCTCTTATTCTGATCATGTCAGTCTGTATATCCCATGCTGAAGAAATGCTTAATGCCCCGAAGTGATCTGAGAAGAAAACTTCTCTTTACATGGTGTTTCTCCTTGCCTCTAAGCACAAAATAATAATAGGAACCACAACTCTGTTCTTGTTTCTTTTAGCAGCCACACAATTTCAACACTTTTGCATCGACTGTTGATCATCATCTGTAAATATACCCAATATTGGTGTAATCTGCATCCAGCATCATCTTTGATTCCTTCACGCTATTTGGACTGAAAACAGCTGGGAAGCCTTGTCTAGAGCAAATGCCAGTTACATGCTCAGAGGCCATGTCATAGACAAAAGGGTATGGAGTTTA